TGGTGCATTATCGCACTTCTTTGTTCAATAAATTCAGACATAATAAAAATCGAAGAATTCAATTTTATAGCCTCACAAAACGACGCGTACTCAAATACTATGAATATTTTGTGGTGAAATTTAGCATTGATACCCCTAACAATACTACCAACTTACAGGGAAAAAAATTACCGATTCGAAAAACACGCGAAGTATGAACTAAAAATTCACCTTTCAATCTTTTCACAGTTTGGGTAGTCTTTTCGTATTTTGTCAATAGGTATCGTTGCAGTCGTGTATCTCTAGTGCTACCAATCATATTGTGTCATACCATATGGTGTTGGAAAGGTGAGATTTTAAGCTTCATTTAACCAAAAAAACTTAAATGGTTCGGTCGCTTCCGTTTTAGAAATTTAGAAATTTCAATTTACCCTGTTTAAAGATTTACACTGATAAAATAATGTCTTTAGCTAAAATTGGCAAAAGGTGGTCCACCGAAATGATAGTTTTTTTGTTTTTTATTTATTAGTATGATTGGAAATACGAAAATACTTTTCGATCTACCAATATATATTTTTATATAAGTATACCAATATAACATTACATAGGCTGTTTTTTTATAGGCACAAAGTATTTTAGCTGTCAAACCAGCTGTCAACAAAAAAAAAAACACGTGCTTGAAAAAGTTTTGCTTCCCTGTGGAGAACACGATAACCTGTTGAAAACTTACCTTCGGCGAGTAGATGTTGTTCTAGAAATGAAAACCATCCCCAAATAATTTGTAGGATTCCTGCCGAATTCACAGTCTTTGGCCAGTTACGCAGTGACGGTTACGAACTTGACCTTCATTTATTGAGTAACACACCTTTTATCATGCCTCTAATTAGCTTACCAATCTTGGAACTAAATTGCTATATACAAGTAATAGGTTTATTAATGCTGGATAATAAAGTGATAAAGACAATCCGCATTTTTTTCCTAGTAAAGTTTTGATTATCAACCTTAACGCTTAAAGAAGTTAAGAAACTAAGTTTTTCGGAGAATTTGTCACTTTTCGACTAATCAGTACAAGTGTAAACAAAATTGCTTCGTGTTTTCCTCAGATCCTAACTGATATGAATCTTCCGCGATCTTTTTTAAACGTTTGCCTCAGTAGAAATCAGTTTTAATCTGTTATCAAGGTGCTAAATATCTAATCTAATTATAGTCCCTAATACGATAAATTTAAGTGAATAAATGTATTATTCGTTGTTATGAATGCATCGAAAAGTCAGTAAGTCATTCCTCTTCGGTGTTTTGACATTAATTTAATCCTAAAAAAGTAAGTGGGGAAATCCAAATACAACTTCGTTTGAATTTCTTAATACACCGAAATATGAACATGTGCTTGAAAGCACATAAGTAATCAGTTCAGAGTGCAGCGAGATTGATGTGTAACTTGCTACCGCTTCTGGTATTGAAAAACTTCACAAGTATCGAAAATATGAATTATTATATTTTGTAATTCCCTTCCCGTAAAACACACGGAAATCATAAGCAGCGCAAATGGAACGTTGTGACACGTACGCATAAGCAGACAAGTGTGCCAATTTATGAATAATAATTTCCTTTTTTGTTTTTATGCAATTTTCACACCAATTGCAACTTTCGTTTTAATTATTATGTTGTGGAAAATGTTCGAACAGGTAGTTGCGTGAGCCGTGTTTCAGCAAATTTGTGTGATGAAACAAAAAGTCCAATAATGAGAGAACTACAAGCATTAAATACACGTACACACATATACTCCTGTGTACTATTCATGCTATATTATATAATATATACATATGTACATGCGCACGCATAAACAGTATTTCCGGTCGCGCGTGCACAAAGGTCACAGAAAAGCGTCGCAAAAAGCACACATTAATACTTATGCATATACATATTCACATATAGATAAATTCGTACAATTTTCCGATACATACCATACATACATATATACAAGAGCCAAATGAACAAAATATTTATCTCATGTGCTGTCTGGTCTGCCACATCTACACCAAATTTCGTACGATTATAAAATCTAATAGTTTCCGGTATACGTTTGTTGTTTTTATACTCTCGCAACAATGTTGCTAAAGAGAGTATTATAGTTKTGTTCAACGGTTGTTTGTAAGTCCTAAAACTAAAAGAGTCAGATATAGGGTTATATATACCAAAATGATCTGGGTGACGAGTAGAGTTGAAATCCGGATGTCTGTCTGTCCGTCCGTCCGTCTGTCCGTCTGTCCGTCCGTCCTTGCAAGCTGTAACTTGAGTAAAAATTGAGGTTAAGTTAAGTTAAGGTTAAGTTCGAAGATGGGCAAAATCGGCCCACTGCCACGCCCACAAAATGGCGAAAACCGAAAACCAATAAAGTGTCATAACTAAGCCATAAATAAAGATATTAAAGTGAAATTTGGCAAAAAGGATCGCATWASRGRGGGGCATATTTGGCCGTAATTTTTTGGAAAAGTGGGCGTGGCCCCGCCCCCTACTCAGTTTTTTGTACATATCTCGGAAACTGCTACAGCTATATCAACCAAACTCTATAGAGTCGTTTCCTTCAGGCATTTTCATATACAGCTCAAAAATGGAAGAAATCGGATAATAAGCACGCCCACCTCCCATACAAAGGTTATGTTGAAAATCACTAAAAGTGTGTTAACCGACTAATGAAAAACGTCAAAAACACTAAATTTTACGGAAGAAATGGCAGAAGGAAGCTGCACCCAGGCTTTTTTTAAAAATTGAAAATGGGCGTGGCGACGCCCACCTATGGACCAAAAACTATATCTCAGGAACTACTCGACCGATTTCAATAAAATTCGGTATGTAATATTTTCTTAASACCCTGATGACATGTACGAAATATGGGTGAAATCGGTTCACAACCACGCCTTCTTCCAATATATATATATCAAATCGTATATACTTCATAATTTCAGTAAAGTTCGGCTCATTGTTTTTGAAAAAAAGCGGGTCCCCAATTTTTATTTCACAAATATTATATATCCAAATTTTTTCCCTCATATTCGCCACGAGCAAACAGCAAAGTAATGAATGCATCTATTTTTGTAGCATTTAGCTCCCACTTAATTCCTAATATCCTAAATGCTTCTTCTTCTGTGCATTTTATAATATGATGCATTATACTCTGATCAATGATAAGAGCAAATGCCGTCTTCGTTTGTCCTTTCATTATATGTTATATTTAGCATATCTCGTTGGCCCTGACGTATCCCTAAAAAATTATGCACTGGTAACCTGCCAGAGTTGGAACTTCCGTTTATTTCTTCCCAGACTGTTCCATCAGCAGCTGTTTCGATCTGTTGATCCTCCAAATCCGTCTCACTTTCGGATGTCAATAAAACTCTCTTTCTTTTCTGTCCTGGACGCTTGTTTATAATATACTCTTCTTCACTATCTCTTTCCGATTCCAATTCACTTGATGTAAATATCTTTGTTTCCATCTTTTTGTTTTCATTTCGATAAGTTTCTTGTTCATCCTATTCTGAATTCTTTTCTTCAATTTTCGTTATATTTATTAGGTAATTTGTAATTTTCCAATGCTTTGATATTTTTAGGGTTATTATCTAAAAAAAATTATTACACTATGTAAGGATTAAAAAATTTACATCCAAATATTGATGCTTTACCTTATCTCTTTCAAATAAACAGTCGTAAAACGAAACTCTTAAAAGTGCACTACTTGACACAGTAATCAATACCCGCTGAGATAATTATAAAAGATTTTTCTCTGACTGTATTTTTGCCCACTGGTCATATTTACATGTGATAGTTTTAATCCGGCGAACTCCGCAAATTGTAGCCAGACTAATACATAACTTATTCAACCTTCTGTTCGTTTGAATAAACTTCTGCAATTCATCGCGATTCTAGAAAAAAATTGCTCAATCTGTCAAATTCTAACTCATTTTATTTGTTTGAGATGTCAAAAAGAAGAAATATGTAGATTTTCTTCAAAATTGTAGTCTTCTTTAGTAATAAATTTAATTTCAAAATATATTAAGGAATTAAAGAGTTTCTGAATATCGAAACAAATTAACACTATTTAGGAATTCTGTCTAGTGTAAACTTAGGTGGACTCTATTATATATAGTTTCCTTAATTATTGAGAATACTTGTGCTCTAATCTTTTTCGATACTTCAGATTACAAATAGAGTGTTCCACAAGTTCAATGCTGTCACCGAATGGGGGACAACTATTATTAGAAAGTTTTTTACTTCGAAATCTTATAAAAGGAATTAGGATTATTTGTCGTAAGGCGACTGTTACTTTTTTTCAGGTTTTCAGGTTTTTTCTCAGACAGAATTTAAACTCACTTCCGAAAATAATTCAGTTAAGACAAGCCTTTTTTAAAAATTATGTACAGTTATATTTTACGATATATAAATGCACAACAATACAATTCATTAAAATTTTACATTAAACATGCATATTTACTATATTAATCTGTTGTTAAAAGAAATGGATTTCATATTCCATAATATAATATGCTGCAATACAAACAAACATATTCACATGCACATATATTTAGTTATTTAAAATAGTTTCCTAAAATAGTTTATAGTAAGTAATGAAAATACAAAATAAAAATCAGAATGAATAACTCTCAGCTCTGTGAAAAACTTTTCATTGCCCCTACCAGCGGTTAGGTTTGATAGAATCTGCATTGAGTTTATAACAAACATATTCCATTTTAAATGCATTCATTTCCTGTTTGGTATAGGTGCTCTGCAATTTTTCACTGTCATAAATTCTGCATGAAAAACTTCACACACAAAATCCCAACATGGGGAGAACAAAATTTGCTCTGAGTGCCACTCAATGATTCGCAAGTAATCGTAAAATATTTCTGATAAATGCCATGATTTCCAAATGGTGGTATGACGAGAACGGTTCGGAACTCCAAGAATATGAACAAAAAATTTTATAATTGAGTGTAAAGTATCACTCATTTAATCAGCCAAGAACTTACCTTGTGACTGTACAACAGCAAGCAGCGAAGCCGCCAGTATCAACAGCAGGCCATTGAGGCCGCGAAGCGCTGGTATTTCCATACTATGTGAGTGCGCCGGATCCGCGCTTAGTGTGTGCAGTTCCTTATTCTTGTTGCTATTATTATTTACTTTTATTTATTTTTCACCCACCGTTAAGACAGTTTTTTTAAACAACTTATATTGTTTTGCTGATGTTGTTAACTTTGTAAGCCTTTTGTTAGCCAAAAATTTAATAATTAATTTGTTGTTACACAAGAACTCATTTATTTATTTCTTGCATTGCACTTTTTGCGGCATGGTGATTTCTTAACATTTAATTGCTTTTTGTTGATTTTTTTGCTTTTTTTTTATTTGTAAGTAATTATTCCTTTGTTATTAACACAACACGATATTTTTTATTTAATATTCACGTTTTTATAACCCGTTCAATATGTAAATACAAAAATTAATTTTTAACGTTATTTTGTAAAATTACTATTGAACAAAGATTATCTGTACAGTTAAAAATCAACTCGTTAAAAACAGAAATGGAATATATAAAATGCAATTGTTTAAAAAATTAAAGCAACAGCAGCATTTCTGGCTGCTGTCTATAAGTGACATGCAGATTATGAGCATAGCATAAATAATCTTGAGTCAGCGTTCTCAAGGTTATGCACAAGCAAGTCATACACACCAATGGGCATGTATGGGTTTATAAATGTTTGTGCTAATTAGTGTTGTTGTTGCAGGAAAATATATTGTAAGTTCTTAGGATTTAAAAGATTGTGAAAGTTAAAATAAAAATAAACATAAACTTTCTGGAAAGCATTCATTTTTATACTCTCGTAACAAAGTTGCTAAAGAGAGTTTTATAGTTTTGTTCACATAACGGTTGTTTGTAAGTCCTAAAACTAAAAGAGTCAGATATAGGGTTATGTATACCAAAGTGATCAGGGTGGCGAGTAGAGTTGAAATCCGGATGTCTGTCTGTCCGTCCGTGCAAGCTGTAACTTGAGTAAAAATTGAGATATCATGATGAAACTTGGTACACGTATTTCTTGGCTCCATGAGAAGGTTAAGTTCGAAGATGGGCAAAATCGGCCCACTGTCACGCCCACAAAATGGCGGAAACCGAAAAAATATAAAGTGTCATAACTAAGCCATAAATAAAGATATTAAAATGAAATTTGGCACAAAGGTTCGCATTATGGAGGGGCATATTTGGACGTAATTTTTTTGGAAAAGTGGACGTGGCCCCGCCCCCTACTAACTTTTTTGTATATATCTCGCAAACTACTACAGCTATGTCAACCAAACTGTATAGAGTCGTTTCTTTTAGACATTTCCATATACAGTTCAAAAATGGAAGAAATCAGATAATAACCACGCCCACCTCCCATACAAAGGTTATGTTGAAAATCACTAAAAGTGCGTTAACCGACTAACAAAAAACGTCAGAAATTTAGTGTTTCGGAAGAAATGCCAGAAGGAAATTGAAAATAGGCGTGGCGTCGCCAACTTATGGACCAAAAACCATATCTCAGGATACTCGACCGATTTCAATGAAATTCGGTATACCCTGATGACATATACCAAATATGGGTGAAATCGGTTCACAACCACGCCTGAAATCTCGATTATCACTTTATCATCAGAGTATAAAATGTTCGGTGACAGCCGAACTTAGAACTTCCTTACTTGTTTACATTCATTTTGTTATATTTTTAAATAGAAAAAGATCATGAATAATTCTTGGAAAGCTTCAATTTTATAAACTAGTTATAGTTGTATACGGGTATATAATTACTATAAATCAAAATTATATAGGGTACATATTATTCGATTTAAGATTAGAGTACGATTAGTTTTCGATCTTTAATAAAAAGTCAGCTATAATTTTGAATTCGGTGGTTGAATATACATAAATTCAATAGAATATAATACTGTGGGCAAAAAATAGTAACACTTTTTAATTGAATCGATTCGGCGAAATATTTGCTTTCTAGCTTGGTATGACTGTTAGTGAACTCTTCACCAAATGTCAAATATTATTCTCATTGGCTCCATTGGAATATCGGTAGGTACAGTGAAAACCATTTTGAATGATCATTTGAGCTAAGAAAAATGAAAGCAGGATTGGCTTCATAATCACTCAATTTTTTTCAAAAACAGCGTCGCGTTAACGTCTGAGAAACAATGTTTCCTGGTTACCAGCATGTAATGAAACGTATTACAAAGTCTTACTATTTGTTCATAGTATTGCTGGATGCGGTTCTAAAGCTGTCGAGAGCTGCTCAAAGACTCATTGAAAACTGACGTCAAATCAAATATGAAACAAAAAAAGGAGCTGCTTATTATTTCTCTAACGCTTGTTCAATCAATAACGATTAGAAGAACCACAGAATTTAGTTGGTCTGTGTTGCTTAACTTCGCCCATGCGTTTGAATTTTAGTTATGCAATAGCTAATAAAGTTGTTGTTGTTTTAATAGAGGTGGTTATTAAAAATATAGTATTATGTGTCAGTTAGCAGTATATCTAGAGAGATATATGTATGTTTGTGTATGTTCTGCTATTTTTAGAGCGGATTTTATTTCAGGTAATAAAAATAAAAAATGTATAAAATGAAAATAGAGTTTTAATAGAAGAAAGACATAAAGTTATTTAATGAAATTTTATCAAATTAATACGAAATATTATTAAAGTTGTACTAAATTTAATTTTAAGACTTCAATAAAGATTTCAAATACTATAAAAAAATATTTTAAAACTACTAAACTCTATTTAAGCTACTATAACTTTAAAGATTAAGCTCACATCGCAAAAAACAACAAAATAAAAAATAGCTGAAAATCATTAAAACATCATTAAATAACACGAAAAACGTGGCGACCAGTGAAATAATGTATTAGTTTGAAGTGCTATAATCAATTAATTTTATTAACTAGTGACGCTTTTTAATGAACATTTTAATAACACAAAAGTAATTTTCGGTTTTGTCTCCCAACTCGCTTGGTAAATAAATATACACATGCGTAAGGCATTATTTATCCAGCTAGCAAAGAGGTTTCCGAGCTTCGGTTAAAACAAAATTTCATTTCACACTATCTGATATAATAATTTTTAAACAACTAAGAAAATCATACTCTTATAGAACCCATATATGTATATACCTATACTGAACTGTATATAATATAAATAAGTAGAGTGTCTAATAAAAGTTGTCTACACTCTCCATGCCCGCATTGCCTCACTAAACGTCAAGTTACAGCAGCAGAGTGGCAAAACAAAAGACTTGCGAAAGAAACTTGCAGACAAAAGCAGCCGAATGAGCAGCCGAATGAGCAGTCGTTAAGCAAATAAATAGCTTGATAGGCGTGCATATATACACAACTTTGGTGGCTTTATTATTTAAATTTATGTCTGTTTTGTATTTATTTTATTTTATTTAATCGTCTGCTGCGATTTGATGTGTGCGTAAATGTCATCTTAATAAGATAACGAAACTGTTGGTAGGAATTTTTTCAACATTCCTATTGAATCACTGTTTATTTATACTTTATTATAATTTTATTGTTAAATATTTCTACTTTTTTTAATTTTACCTTTACATAAGCCAAGTCTTATGCATTTTATATTGAAAGTAATGTTATTGTTGGGTTCAGTATAAGCTTACAAGCTTTTTACTGTTGCAATTACCCAAAGTAACTTTTGTTATTTGCACTAATAATATTTTTAATATTGAAAGTAAGTGCATTATAACAATATATACATATATGTATATACAACATGCAAATGCGGTTATAGTACTTTGCTGTTACATGCTCACTCTGTACTTTGCTGATGTTGACAAAAAAAAATATGTATTATAGCTTCCATACAAATTAATCAGCGAAGGAAACTCAAGAAAATGCAGATAACTGCTGTAGCTCTAAATGCACAAATAGCAACAACACTAAGAACCACAACAACATTGAATAGTAATAAAAATTAAGCGAAGAGATAAGTAAATTGTTCAGACACTTATATATTTTATATCATGTGTTTCAGTTGTTTTACTTTCTACATAGTATATGGCACTTTTATATGTTTCATTTTTCTTACATGCTTTCATTTGTATTAAAACTTTGTATATTTTTGGTAACTTTTCAGTCAAATTGTACCAACAGTGATTTTGAAATAATTTGTTGTTAAAAATCCATTCACAAAATATCACTCATGTATAACCGATTCGAATTAACGATTCGAAAGACTCAAGCACGAAAGCTTTAAATGCACATTATACAAATGTGTATATGTGTATATGTATGTATTTGTTATTGTACTACTTTATATTTGTTATTATTAGTTTTGTTGTTGTAATTAATCGAACAATTGTTTCTCAATATTTCGTACCGCACACCAGTGTTAAACCGTTCATAAAAGCGTTTCGAGTCAAACTAACCCCAGCTTTCGTTGTTGGCCAGCGTCAAGGTAGTCGAGTTGGTATAAAATGTGGCTTATGCTATGGGCTTGGCTCGCAGAGTGGTAACGCAAGAATTTCTAGCTTTATAAGAAGCGCTGGTAATGACAAAGAGCCAAGAGCATAAAACGAACTAAGGCAAAGGACTGAAACAAGCAAAAAGCAGAAATGGAGGAAAATATGTGGGCTTAAAAGCTAATTGCGAGAGAAAAATGAGAAAACTGACTAGTTTTTGTATAATAACTCCAACAGAGCAGCTTTCAATAGCCAGAGAGCGATTTTTTAAAAATAGAGTTTTTGGGAGTATGCGTTAGGCGGAGAGTAGTGCAAAAACTATTAGACTTTGAAGCATACCTTGCACGTAGGTGTCCAAACGTAAGCGACTTGCTTGTAAATCGAAAAAGTGTCCAATTCCAACTTTTTAGAAGTTAAACAAGCAATAAATTTAATAATAATGAAAATTTAAATTAAATTGCATGTCTTTTCTTCCCAAAAACCTGCTCATTTGTCGGAATCCCAGATATCGTATCACTTTAAGAAATAACTGCCATATAGGTAAACTGCTAAATCGCACCCAAGTCCTTGTAAAGAAAACTTTTTTATTTGTGAAGGGTGTTGTAGCTTCGGTGGAACTGAAGTTAACGTGTTTTGTTGTTTAATAATAATGCGTTAGAATTCACATTTAATAAAAGGCAGTATATGTCTGTTGATATATTATAAATGAATATTGAATTTTAACCAGCGGAAAATGACGTGAAAAACAAGCTTTTGAAAATATAGAAGTAAAGTTCCTTTTAGAAATAATAACAAAAGCTAATTGCCCTTATCTTTTTATAGAACTATATATTAATTTCTAGGCTGATTCCAATGCTATATTATTCATCTTGTTTTCTTTGTTCGCTATTTCCTGTTCCGCGATAGTTTCAAATCTCGCAATAAAAAAATTACTTTCAAATTTTAATTTTTAATACCTCTACTGTTTCAGCTAATTCTAATAATGTATACTTCTTCTTGTTATGTTTATTTGTTACTTTCTTTTCCGCCGTAGTTTGACCTTTCGAACTTGCCGTAAAAGTGATTTTTGCTAATTCATTTATAAATTATGTTAAAATTAACAAAATCGTTTTATTAAATTATGCAATATTCTATTTGTGGTCTTGAAAGCAGCAATTACAAGAAAATGCATTCAAGCCGTAATTGACAGAGCTAGAGTTGAGTATTTCTTTAATCTGGATAAATTGTAATTAATTAGCATGTTAGAAACATTTGCGCCACATAAATCCATTAGCCTCATCCATTTCGCAGCGAAATTGATGTACGAGATAAGCAAACTCACAACAAAAAATTGGCAAACGACAACATTTAAGCTTAAAATCAGCACAGGCATCTCGCAGCCATTAGCAGTAAACCCTGTAACCCATTTTGTGAAACATTTCGCAAGACAAACAATCACACCAACATATAGCCGGTGGAAAACAAGCCAAATTGAATTAAAATCGAAAATAATTGTAATTTTATAATGATTTTACAATTTTAAGACATGCCTGTCAAAGTGTTTGTGTACTCGTATTATGTGCTCTCACTTAATCTTCCTCCAACAGCCAGATAGGTATTTGAATCGGAAAATGTAATTTTCGTGCATCATATACATGCAGCAGCAAAGTGAAGAGTAGCTCAAAGCTAAGCGATTGTTACCTACGTAAGTCGCGCATAGTGTACATATTTATTAATCTGTCTCATCGATCGCGAGTAGTCAATCGTCTAAGATCCCACATAAATCGTAAGCTGAAAACCAGCACCAACATACTATACATATGTACATATGTACATAATAATATGAATTCGCTATAAATGAGTGCATATGCTTATATGTATGTGTATGTATATTTTTATGTCAGTGCATCAGTAACATCGATCGTGCAATGAAGATGACGTTGAGAGAGCTGCTTCACTATACCAAATCTGCAATTACTGGCGCTGCAAATGCATCGATCGTAATTTTTTAATAGCAGGAAGGTTGGGGATGTGCGCCATTGTAGATTGTTGGTTTTTGTAAATTTGCCAATTCTGAGTGCCAACAAATAAGAAGTTAGCGTAACGTGTATGTTGTACGCTGCCACCAACCCTTTCACTGCTACGTTGCACGATTTGTTTCTGTTCATTTATTTTTTTTATTAATATTTAGGTATGCATGTTTATACATTAGTACTGATGAGTAGATACATATTTACATAATAGGATCGCTCGTAAATCGTTTAAGCCAGCATATACAAAACGCCGGAAATTGAACAGATTTTCCTGTTAACACACTCGATTAATGATACTTAAAAATGAAAATAGCATTGCTAATAATATGGAGATTTAGTTGCTTAAGTACTTAGATTTTTTTTCTTAGAATATTGTACCTTTATTTATGCAATTGTTTTCATTACAAATATCGACATTGTTTATAGTCAAATTTCTTTCAATGTGCATGGAATCTTCACACATTCGCTTTACATTTTCTGTGGGAAATGAAAATAGCTGAGAAAAATAAATTTATTAAGAAGGAAAAAGGAAACAATTCAACAATACTTAAAATGTATTAGGCCACATAAAAAAAAATTGGCGAACATTTAAGCTCTACAATGTCGCTATAACACAAAATGCAGCTTCCAAAAGTAAAATATGGTTTGCCTTTTCGATTTTCACTTCATGTGATTAATTCTTATACTTTAAGCGTAAATTTTATGTCACTTGGGGATGTATGAACTTTTAACTAAACGCTGTGTAGCATTTATTGGCAGATATGCAGCATTTATTTGCCAGAAGTAAACTTCGAAAGGCTTTCCAAGAAACCAATGTATGAACTGTGCTCGAAAGCAGTAGCCAAATCTGAGAGTTTTTCAACGAATTCATTACTAACACCTTTCTCTTCCAAGAGATTCATCAGCAAGTCATAAAGGTACTGTAAAGAAGCCAATATTAAAATTTGTTGGCCATAAGTTAGTTTATATCTACTTACGCCATCGAGCACATCACCGGCCACGGCATAAACCTTATCGTTCCATTCACCTTGGTAGATACATATCTCATCAATGCCAAAAATGTCATCTGCATAAATAACCAGAAATTTTAAAGCTCTTTCGGTATTAAATAATTTCATCACTTACTGTATTCGCCCTCTTGTGGAGTACCTTCCAAGAACGAGCATGTGAATGAAAGGGTTGTGTTGGCCTTAACGATGTCAATCTCAAAACGTGGTTTACTGCGCATCTCACCGGTTTCAGCCTTTTCCGCGTTGGGGTCCAACTCAGGTTCGTCTTCAGTATCCACAGTGTGATTGACATTGAAGTTAATGACAATTCTATAGAACACAAATTTTATTAATCACTTGTAAAGTTTTATTCAATTTTTTTGTAATTTACTTTTCCTTATCACTCGTCTTGGTTAACTCAACATCCGCGCCATCCAGCTTAACATTGAATCCCTCTATTATTGTGGGAATAGTTTTGATTTTTTGCGCTTTGCGTTCCGCCAATATTTCTTCAGTCAGGAACTCCACAAGTTCCCTTTCGCCTTTAAATTAAAAAAATATACTTTAATTCAAAAACTGTACGCCATAATTTCATCATGTGTATATAGGTTATGTAATTAATATTTTAACCGGCAATAGGTGTTAAAAATTTCTAACCTTTGGTATGCAAATGTTTTACTCCACCACAACCGCAGCTGCAGCTTAAGCTGGGCTTGTGCACATTCAAGACACTGCTGGTGGTTCCAGAAGCTTCTAGATTCTTGCACATGTGCCAGAGTGTGCGAGTGAAATCACGTTTACCGAAAACATTTTTTAATGCGTTGTTTGAGTTGGCAGCGATCAAACTGTTGCCGAAACGAAGTACAGATTTTGTTAAATTACTCATTGCGAAAGTTTTAAATTTTGAAATTTTACGGATAAATGCAGCTGCAGATGTTAATTTAACCTCACAGGATTTTATGCTGGTAAATGTCAACTTTGATTTTGCTTAGAGCATGTTCGCCAACAACGGTTGTTGCCATATGTTATTTTTTGTTTAGAAGTATTTCGGTTGATTGCCAAAGATCCCGATATGACAGGGTAGAAAAATAATATATGTAAATCAAAAACTATAAACTTCCTGCGGCTATAACCATATATATTCGTGATCTGGAGAATCTCCTCTATCCAACCATACCCATTTTATAACCCAAATCCTGGGACGGCCCCGACCCCAAACAAATATTAAGACAATGATCCCAAGCTAAATAATTAGCAATCGATTATTTATCGACTTATGTTGATTACAAATACTTTGTATAATGTATCTAAAATAAAAACAAATAATTGGTAACCCATTTTTGTACCAATCAGCTGTTTTTGTTCTTACAATTGGCCTTTAGCTGACGTACGTTTTCTCATGTATTTTCATTTCTATCAAGCATTGTATAACCCTACAAGTAACCAATCCTTCATTTTTCACTAACCATACGCAAAAATCTACTACAAATTAGGAACTTGGTACGGGTTGCAACTATTATTCTACTACAAATTAGGCATTTGGTTCGGGTTGCACCCAAATATTCTACTACTAAAACGTTTAAATGCCTCAAATCAGCTATAGTGTGTTGCCGTGTTAGGTTTTAAAATTTATAACTTTAACAATATTTTTATAAAATATTCAAATATTTTTCGATTATTTAAATTCCCAAATATTAAATTGAATCAGTTTTGTCCAAAATATTAATTATTGTATCAATATATTATTGAATGTTTCCAATTTTATAAAAAAAAATATTTATATAATATTTGTGTAAAAACTGTGTATTTTGATGTGAGAATAACTCCGCAGCGTTTCTCACATCTTTTCAGACAAGTCTGGGGCATAGTATATATTCGTTGTGTAGATAAAGGGAACTGCAAACTCTTGCCAGTTGACCAGTGTGAGTCATTTTCTAATAG